GAAATCCACAAGCATGTGGACAATTTCAACAGAAAGGAGGAAACCATGAAAATGAACAAAATCTGGCTACCAGTATTAAAAAAACTCTAAAATTGCAACAGCACAACAACAGAGAGGAAGCAGGCAGGGACATCTAATTACCTCTCAACAAAAGTTTGCTCCAGGCACAGTCAGCCCACTGTATGCTAATCAAGGTGGTCAGTTGAAACATTCACACCTAGCTCCAGCAGACAAGAGTCCTTTGTCTCACCCTGGTCATTCCACAGATATATAAACCCTTTTTCCTAGTTCCAACAGACCTCACTACCTCTGAGGATTGCCATAGATGCAGGCGAAACGTCAGGAGAGAATGCCTCTAGAACATGGCCATATAGCCCGAAAAACCTACAACAACCCAGTGATTCCGGCCATGAAAGCCTTCGACAATACAATTAAGCAGAGAGTGTTTGAGGACTGGGACATCCGTAGAGATACCAAGGTGCTATTGTCCTCCCAACCTTGCTATATGCCTTAAAGATGGGCTCAAAGCCAACCTTAAAAACTCTGGCATAGACACTGAGAACTGGGAAGCCCTGGCCCTTGAGCTCCAGCTGGAGGTCAGCTGTGACCAGCAGTGCTGTACAATTTGAAGAGGCACGAATGGAGGGCGAAAGAGAGAAACATGTCAAGAGGAAGGCGTGTCAAGCCAACCCTGACCGGGACCGCCTTCCACCTGGAAACCAATGCCCTCACCCACCGCCAGTACACCGATCTTGGAAGACAATACTACTTGGATAACAAGGGATCTCCTAAGTAAATAAGTTTAAGTGGGGCCAAACTGCATTCATTCTACAGTGTACCTTTAGAGAAAACACGATCTCAAATGTATATGCGCCCTTGACAGCACATAATTCAGGAATTAATTTTGCACCCACCAAAAAAAAAGTGTATACTGTTAAGCGCTCAACAACACAGAAGCCTCCAATAGTAGCCGAGAAGAAACTTCAAACAGAGTTTTGCAACTTGATGGTTCCCCAATGCGAGCAGAGATGACCATTTGAACACTTTACATACAATTGTAACGGAAGAGGGAATTTGTAACTAATGAAAGCAATCCTATAATAGACCTTGTGCTTCAATACCAAGAATAATGACTTAGCCTTTCAATTACCTAGGGCAGGCATGTCCAAAGTCTGGCCCGGGGGCCAATTGCAGCCCTTGTTCAAATTTCCACTGGTCCTCTCTCTCCAGGCCTCTCTCCCTTCCTTGACTTCCTTCCTTCTTCCCTCCCTTCCTGCCTTTGTTCTTTCCTTCCTTCTTTCCTTCTAGGAGATCAGCCCTCCACCACCACAATCAAAGCCCTCCCCACAGATGCTGCCTCTGCTGAAAAACCTCCAGAGAAGGAGACTCCACCAGACTGAGGCGGTATATGCCACTATTTGAAATGATTTGAAAACACACAACAACAATCCTTATTAACTTGACTCTCTCATCAGCCAAAAGCGGGTCCACAATTCCCATTGAAAGACTGGTTAAAATATTTCTTTGTTTATCTATATAAATAAAAATGTAATGTTCGTTTGTGGGATTAACAGAACTCAAAAACCACTGGACGAATTGACACCAAATTTGGACACAAGACACCTAACAACCCAATGTATGTCCTTCACTCAATTTTTTTGTCATTTGGGACTTGTAGTTGCTGGGATTTATAGTTTACCTACAATCAAAGAGCATTCTGAACCCCACCAATGATGGAATTGAACCAAACTTGGCACACAGTTCTCCCATGAGAAACAGAAAATACTGGAAGGGTTTGGTGGGCAGTGTCCTTTGGTTTTGGAGTTGTAATTCACCTACATCCAGAGATTACTGTGTACTCAAACGATGAATCTGCACCAAAGACTACACGAATACTCAATATGCCCAAATATGAACACTGGTGGAGTTTGGGGGAAATAGAATCTTGACATTTGGGAGTTGTAGTTGCTGGGATTTATAATTTACCTACAATCAAAGAGCATTAAAAACCCCACCAACAATGGAATTGAACCACACTTGGCACACAGTTCTCCCATGAACAACAGAAAATACTGGAAGGGTTTGGTGGGCAGTGTCCTTTGGTTTTGGAGTTGTAGTTCACCTACAACCAGAGATCATTGTGGACTCAAACAATGATGGATCTCGACCAAACTCTACACGAATACTCAATATGACCAAATGTGAACACTGGCAGAGTTTAGGGAAAATAGAATCTTGACATTTTTGAGTTGTAGTTGCTGGGATTTATAGTTCACCTACAATCACAGATCATTCTGAGCCCCACCTATGATAGAATTGGGCCAAACCTCCCACACAGAACCCCCCATGTGGGCCACAGCAACGCATGGCAGGAAACGGCTAGTCTATATAAATAAAAATGCAATGTTCGTTTGTGGGATTAACAGAACTCAAAAACCATTGGACGAATTGACACCAAATTTGGACACAATACACCTATCAGGCCAATGAGTGACCACCACTCATAAAAACACAGCGGAAGAGACTTAAATAGCCAAAAAACAAAATTGCATTACAGCGCATAAACAAAACCACATATATACACAAACACACATATATACACAAACATATACAAACACACATATACAAACACACAAAGCACATATACACAGACTGGGTCACAGCAACGCGTGGCAGGGGATGACTAGTATATTATATTGTTCTTTCATGGTTAGGAGGGGGTTTTTTTTACACTACAAATAAGACATAGGAATGTGTTCATGCTTTTTACAAACTATAATCTGGCCCCCCAACAGGCTGAGAGACCGTGAACCAGCCCCTGATTTAAAAAGTTTGGACACCCCTGACTTAGGGTGTATCTACACTGTAGAATGGATGCAGTGTTAACCCCGTATTTATTGCCTTAGTGCTATGGAAGTTGTAGTTTACAAGGTTTCTCTGCCAAAGGGTTCTGGTGCCTCACCAAACTGTAAATCCCGTGGCCACATAGCATTGAGCCATGGCATTTCAAGTTGTGTATGGCTGCATTCATTCTACAGTGTTGATGGTTGCACACTTCACTTTCTAATTAACACTATTATCAACATTTGAAAAAAATGAACACTATTAACAATATTTGAAAAACAAAATCTGTTCCTGGTTAGAAAATGCTATTTCTGTTTAATTGTACGGTATGTACTTTGAAAGAAGTTGTTACACTCCAGAAACTTTGTTTTTGTGGCTGCTACAAACTATATAGAATTGATTGAGACTCTATGAGATATTCATTGAAAACTATAGCAAAATATGCTGCAGGATGTTCCGCCAAAACAAAGGTTTTGAAGTTGAATAAACGTTCCCCAGGTTTTTCTGATAGAGTCAATTAGAATACTACCTTTCTAACCCAGGGACAAAAATTGTGTTACATAGTGAATCGCTGCTAAAAGAGTGTCCACCGTTTTGGAGGGAGAAGCCTTATACATATCAACAGGAGGGCACCATAAATATAGAATCATAGAGGGGGACGAACAACCCAACCCCGTTCTGACATGCACCATCTAAGCACTCCCAACAGATGGCCATCTAGCCTCGGCTTAAAAACTTCCAAAGAAAGAGACTTCACCACACTCTGCCCCCTTCCACACAGCTGTATAAAATCCCACATTATCTGCCTTGAACTGGATTATATGACAGTGTGGACTCAGAGAAAACAGTTGTGGATTATGTACCTTGATATTCTGGGTTATATGGCTGTGTGGAAGGGCCCTCCAAGATATCTATATATCTATATATAACTATATCTATATATCTATATATATCTATATCTATATTGATATCACATTCCAGATAGATAGGGCCCTCCGAGATATCTATATATCTATCTGGATATCACATTCCAGACATATAAGGCCCTCCAAGATATCCATGTATCTATATATATCTATATATCTATATCTATATGGATATTACATTCCAGACATATAGGGCCCTCCAAGATATCTATATATAACTTTATCTATATATCTATATGGATATCACATTCCAGACGTATAGGGCCCTCCAAGATATCTATGTATCTATATATAACTATATCTATATGGATATCACATTCCAGACATATAGGGCCCTCCAAGATATCTATATATAACTATATCTATATATCTATATAATATCTATATGGATATCACATTCCAGACATATAGTGCCCTCCAAGATATCTACGTATCTATATATAACTATATCTATATATCTATATGGMTATCAMATTCCAGACATATAGWGCCCTCCRAGATATCTAYRTATCTATATATAACTATATCTATATAACTATATCTATRTGGMTATCAMATTCCAGACATATAGRGCCCTCCRAGATATCTATRTATCTATATATAACTATATCTATATAACTATATCTATRTGGATATCACATTCCAGACATATAGGGCCCTCCAAGATATCTATRTATCTATATCTATATATCTATATGGTATCACATTCCAGACATATAGGGCCCTCCAAGATATCTATGTATCTACATATAACTATATCTATATATCTATATGGATATCACATTCCAGACATATAGGGCCCTCCAAGATATCTACATATCTATATATAACTATATCTATATCACTATATCTATATGGATATAACATTCCAGACACATATTGATATGTGTGTATATATCAACTGGATTATCTGCCTTGATATTCTGGGTTATATGGCCATGTGGAAGGGCCCTTGAGATATCTATATATAACTATATCTATATGTATCTATATATCTATATCTATATGGATATAACATTCCAGACACATATTGATATGTGTGTGTATATAGCGAGAGAAAGGTGGAATTCTAGAGCTGGAAGAGATCCTAAAGGCCATCTAGTCCAACCCCCTTCTGACATGCAGGAACACACAATCAAAGCACTCCCAACAGATGGCCATCCAGCCTCTGCTTAAAACCCTCCAGAGAAGGGCACTCCCAAACGCTTCCCATCCCAGTCCGCCCCTTACTATTTCCGCAGCGAGGATCATGCCCTTATGGGAGCGGATGAAGGTGAGAAACTGGTCCATGCAGCCCTTAGAGCCGGAGGAGTCCATGGCGCCGAGAGACCCCCTTCTTCCCCTGTACCAGGGACGAGCACCAAGAAAGCGGGAGAGCGGATCCGAAACACCCCCGCCCTGCGAATGGACTTCTCCACGTCTCCTGGAAAGCGCGGGCGAGGCGAGGGCGAGGCCAACCGGAGCGGGGGGAGGAGGGGGGATCTTTCTACAGGAGGGAGGAGGCGTGGCGGGCGGGGCTGGGCTTTTGGGGAATGGTGCTGGCCCTTTAAGGGCAACCCGGCGGAGTGGGGCGGGCCTGGCACTTCCCGAAACATGAAAAAGGGAGGAGAAGGAGGAGGAAACTTAGGCTGTAACTTCCTTGCAAGGAATAAGACCCATGGGAGAAACCAGGAGACTAGGGCTCCTTCCACACAGCTGTATAAAAGCCACATTGAACTGGATTATGTGGCAGTGTGGACTCTGATAACCCAGTTCAAACTACAAGAAAGGAGATTCCATCTGAACATTAGGAAGAACTTCCTGACTGTGAGAGCCGTTCAGCAGTGGAACTCTCTGCCCCGGAGTGTGGTGGAGGCTCCTTCTTTGGAAGCTTTTAAACAGAGGCTGGATGGCCATCTGTCAGGGGTGATTTGAATGCAATTTTCCTGCTTCTTGGCAGGGGGTTGGACTAGATGGCCCATGAGGTCTCTTCCAACTCTATGATTCTCGGCCTTGATATTCTGGGTGCGCCCGTACCTTGGGAAGTCGGATTTGGCCACGGTGGTCCACGCTCTTGTTACATCCCGATTAGATTACTGCAACGCACTCTACGTGGGGTTGCCTTTGAAGACTGCTCGGAAACTCCAACTAGTCCAGCGAGAGGCAGCCAGATTGCTCACCGGGGCGTCATACAGGGAGCATACCACCCCCCTGTTTTGTCAGCTCTGGCTGCCGATCCAGTTCCGAGCACAATTCAAAGTGCTGGTTTTGACCTACAAAACCCTATACAGCTACGGGCCAGTGTATCTGTCCGAACGCATCTCCCTCTATGTCCCACCCCGGAGCCTAAGATCTTCTGGGGAGGTCCTGCTCTCGACCCCGCCTCTATCACAGGTGAGATTGGCGGGGACGAGGAGCAGGGCCTTCTCGGTGGTGGCCCCCCGCCTGTGGAATTCACTCCCCGGGGAAATCAGATCTGCAACTTCGCTCCTTTCTTTCAGGAAAAAACTAAAAACATGGATCTGGGACCAGGCATTTGGACAAGTGGGCAAATAAAGAAAGAACTTCATTGATGGCTAGGAAATGACTAACGGATTGGACATGTGGAACTCTGGAAACGAAACGCTGATTATAAGAATGATTTTTCTATGATGTTTTATATAATGTCTTATGTACCGGTTGTTGATGTTTTAATTGTGATAATCGTTTTTAATTACATTTTTGTATATTTGTTCTTTTGTATATTTTTGTATATTATGTGTAATTTTGTATAGGCATCGAATTCTGCCTTTTTTGTAAGCCGCCCTGAGTCCCCCTCCAGGGGTTGAGAAGGGCGGGGTAAAAGTACCAGAAATAAATAAATAAATAAATAAATATTTCTTTATTTACAACATTTATATGCCACCCTTCTCAGAGCAGCTTACAACTTATATGTAAATACAATGTATTATATTATTAGCAGAGCACAATATTAGTACCATACATTCCCATATTGTACTACACCACTATACTGTAATATTGTTAGTAATACCACATGTAATATGAAATATATTGTATTACATTATAATATTATAATCAATATTATATGTGTATACAATATATTATATTATTTGCACAGGACAATATTGTACTACACCACTATACTGTAATATTGTTAGTAATACCATGTGTAATATGAAATATATAATTATAATATTGTATTACATTATAATATTAGAATCAATATTATATGTGTATACAATATATTATTAGCGCAGCACCATATTAGTATTATATATTATTATATTGTACTACACCACTATACTGTAATATAGTATAGTGGATCGTCTCACCCCCTACCAACCCCAGAGATCCCTCCGTTCTGAGGACCAAGATCTATTGGAAGTCCCCAGTGTCAAGACCTTGCGTCTAACGGCAACCAGACGCAGAGCCTTCACAGCAGTGGCGCCATCAGTCTGGAATGCACTGCCACCTGAAGTTCGTGCCCTGCGGGACTTACCAGCTTTCCGCAGGGCATGTAAGACATACCTGTTTTGACAGGCTTTTAATGTTTGATACTGTTGTTTTTAAATTGTTTTAAATTGCTTTTAAACTTTGTTAGATTTTAGCTATTCTTGTAAGCCGCTCCGAGCCCCAGGGGAGTGGCGGCATATAAGTTTAAATAATAAATAAATAAATAAAAATAGGGATGAGCTTGCAGCACTGCGTAGTTTGGAAGAAGTCAGCAATGCCATCAGCCAACAAAAAAATAACAACAAAGCCAGCGGACCTGATGGGATCCCTGCTGAAATCTTTAAAGAAGGGGGACCTGAGCTGACACAACAACTCCACCAGCTCATTGAAAAAGTTGATTTAATCAACTACTAAGCTTGCAAACTCTGTTTTGTCTGTTTGTTAAAAAATTGTTTAAAATGTAATACAATTGTCTGGTTGATACTGACACAATAAATAAATAAATTGAAAAACCGTGGGTGACCGAGAAAATCCCAGCAGATTTCAAAGATGCCACCATCATCCTTGACCCATGGAAGCCTACAGAAGAAGACTAGCTAGGACCTCATCACACTACTAAAGTATGCATCCAATCTAAAGCCAGTTTCTGCCACCTGCAGAATTCTGTGGTTTGTAGTTTAGGGAGGGGTTTTTAAACTACGCAGCCAGAGAGGTCCTGGTCCTCACTAAACTGCAAACCGCAGAATTCTGCAGGAGGCAGAAACCGGCTTTAGAGTGGACCCTGCTCTAGTGTGATGAGGCTGTTAGGGTGCATCTACACTGTGGAATTTATGGGGTTTAACACCACCACTTTAATACAATGCCAAGAGCAGATTTCCTGAAAGAAGAACCAGGAAAATAAGATTCTGACTATAAATAGAAGGTCAGCTGCTGTCCTCACCTTTTTGCCTTGTTTTTTACTCGTGTTCTATTTTGAAATGGTCATATGACTGATCAAATAAATAAATAAATATTATTATTATTATTATTAACTTTGTGTTTTTAAAAACATTTCAACCGTACCCTTGGTTTGCTTCTGATACGACAAATAAATAAACATAACTGTGCCTGCCATGGCTCAAAGTTCCCTTCTACGCAGCCATATAAAACCCAGAATATCTGCTTAGAACTGGATTATATTACAGTGTAGACTCTCAGGACCCTCCTACTTCCAATATAATCCTGATTATCAAAGCAGATAATCCACATTTTCCGCTTTGAACTGGATCATATGAATCTACGCTGCCATATAATCTAGTTCAAAACTAAGTTCTGGATTTTAGAGGGCAGTGTAGAAGGGCAGCTGTGAAGGAACTATACATGATCCTGAAGTGTCACAATCTATATAAATAAAAATGTAATGTTCGTTTGTGGGATTAACAGAACTCAAAAAAGCACTGGACGAATTGACACCAAATTTGGACACAAGACACCTAACAACACAATGTATGACCTTCGCCCAAAAAAATAGATTTTGTCATTTGGGAGTTGTAGTTGCTGGGATTTATAGTTCACCTACAATCAAAGAGCATTCTTAACCCCACCAACGATGGAATTGAACCAAACTTGGCACACAGTTCTCCCATGACCAACAGAAAATACTGGAAGGGTTTGGTGGGCATTGACCTTGAGTTTGGGAGTTGTAGTTCACCTACATCCAGAGATCACTGTGGACTCAAACAATGATGGATCTGGACCAAACGAATACTCAATATGCCCAAATGTGAACACTGGTGGAGTTTGGGGAAAATAGAATCTTGACATTTGGGAGTTGTAGTTGCTGGGATTTATAGTTCACCTACAATCACAGAGCATTCTGAACCCCACCAACGATAGAATTGGGTCAAACCTCCCACACAGAACCCCCATGACCACAGTGGGCCACAGCAACGCGTGGCAGGGGGCGGCTAGTCTAGCACTAAATATTAAAATGAGTACAGCAAAGCCTAGAGAAGACAATTATGCTGGGGAAAGTAGAAGGTAAAAGGAAGAGGGGCCGACCAAGGGCAAGATGGATGGATGGCATCCTTGAAGTGACTGGACTGACCTTGAAGGAGCTGGGAGTGGTGACGGCTGACAGGGAGCTCTGGCATGGGCTGGTCCATGATTTCACGAAGAGTTGGAGACGACTGAACGAATGAACAACAATAGTCCATTCCCAGGTTCCCAACCACTGGCCCCCAAGGTGTTTTGGATTTCAGCTCCCAGAATGGCTGGAAACTGTCCAAGCTTGGTGGGCAGTCTTTGACAGCAGTCTTTGGCCAATAAGGTTGAATTTGACCTTGTAAAACTATAATTCCTATGATAATTCCTATGATTCTTTTGCAGGCATCCTCATACTGTAGCTTCCCAGCTGTTTGAGCCTTCAACTTCCAGAGCCCTAGCCAGCTTGTTAAATGATCAGGAATTTTGGGAGTTGGAGGGCTGCAGTTTGAGGATGCCTGTTGTAGAGCATTGAGTTGCAGCACTTACAGTTGTATCAAACTGTGTAAATTCTGCACCCCAGGAGGAAAGAGAGAAAAAGACTAAGATGCAAATTCTGAAAAGAGATATGAGACGTAGTGCAGAATCAAGTTATTAATAGAATGAAATCCAGCTTCAGATCCCTACTTTTCTAGTGCATATTTTTGGGATAATCAGTATTTTCCATTCAACCCCTTCACAGATTGGCTATGAGGATTATGAAGGTCACGGGGGGGGGGGGGGGGGGGGGGTGCCCTGCTGCCAAGCCAATCCTGTTTGAATGTACGTGTGTGCTTCTGTTTACTTTGGTTTGGCGACTAAAGAAATAGGAACTTTGTATAGATAAGTTTCATAGACATGCACAATGGATTTCAGAAGTCCATTGTGCTTTCCCCATATTTTGAACTCCCTAAAAAAAGTAATCATGTCTATGTATTAAATTCTTGTCTGTTTAACTAACATGGATACCGCTAGTTTATCGGTTTCTATAGGTTGAAATGGCCCAGAAATCAAAATCTAATCAAACGGGGTGGAAATGTTTGCATTTGACAAGTGCATGACTCAGT